GAGAAGGAAAATCTTTTTTTTTTTAACAGAATAATCTCTTTTCAAAAAAACAACTTCCAATAAGTTTTTTCATTCTTTCTGTTACATTTTCTAAAAAGAAATACAGCTATTAGTACGGAGAAGTATAAAATATACTGAAATGTAAATGCATAACAGTGTGAGATTTTTTATGTTAAATATTTCAACGAAGTTCCAATTGAAATTAAAATTGAGTTCTAAACTGACCCAAATCAATATCAGTTTGACAATTTTAAAAAAAGTTGTTACTATTAACCCATCTAATAACATAATTAACAATAAAATGTATTGAAGTAACATAATTAACAATAAAATGTATTGAAGTAAAAGTACTAAAAAGCACATTTAGTTTTAGTTGTAAAAAGCATGTGTCTCTGATCTCAATAAAAACCAAATTAAAAGTGAAAAAAATTAAAGTTTAATAAAAATTTGTATATTAAATATGGGGAAGTTTGAAAAAAATTAAATTGATTTTAACTAAAAAAATAAGAAACTCAAACAAAATCATAGAATGTATATATATATATATATATATATATATATATATATATATATATATATATATATATATATATATGTATATATATATATATGTTTACATTCAAGGGTGGCAATAAATAGTTGACCTCATTTTTTTTCAAGGGCTAATATTAATATATCAACAAAATATAAATATATATATATATACAAATACACATACATGCTGTTAAAAGAAAAATTATTTACAAAAAAAAATTGTGTGTATATATATACTTATATACATATGTATATTTATATATATATATATATATATATATATATATATATATATATATATATATATATATATATATATATATATATATATATATATATATATTTATATATATATATATATATATATATATATATATATATATATATATATATATATATATATATATATATATATATATATATATATATATATATATATACAAAGGTCAAAGGACCAGGCTTGCTTTGTCAATAGCATTTGTAATCTTCATATGTAAGTTCTAAAAATAAAATTTAATTTACATTTATACTTTAATAAATTTAACTGAAGGACCAAAATTAGAATAAAAAAAATGCTCTCAATCATTTTTTCTTAATTCTTTTATTTATAGTCAAGTCTTTACTTCATTAAAGCAGATAATATTCTTGTAAGCAAGAATTTAGAATAACCGTTTGGTGCTTTAGGTTGAGTACCTAAACATAATAAATATATACCTACAGATTCCTCTTCCTTGCTAAAAGATAAATAAAAACACTTAGAAAAGACATAATAAAATTTCACCATAAGAAGAGCTGGCTGTTAATAATTCATCTAGATAAAAAAAAAAACTGTTAAACAAACATTTTTTTCTCAACATTCTTAAAAAAGATATAGATAAAAATGTTAAAAAATATTGTTAAGTAAAATGAAAAAATGTAATCTTTTAAAAGTAGGAAAACAGTACGTTATCGAGTTAGGCTTGGTAACTCGATAACGCTTGTAATCTTCATATGTAAGTTTTAAAAATAAAAATTAGTTTATACTTTAATAAATTTAACTGAAGAAGCAAAATTAGAATAAAGAAAATGTTCTCAATCATTTTTTCTTAATTCTTTATTTATAGTCAAGTCTTTTTTTTTTTTTTTTTTTTTTTTAACATCTTCACTTCCAACAAGGCTGCAAGCAACCACTATAAGAGTTGGAAGTTACTGGAAGAGAAAAGACTAAATCTGTAGAGCAAGATAACGATTGACTGATGACTTAAAAGATTGCAAATTATATGAATCAGGAAAGCAAGATGAAGGAAGCGAATTCCAAAGAACTGATGTTCGAGGAAAAAAACTAGAAGAATAAGAGTTTTTGAAGCACTTAGGAACAGTCACAGAAAAAGGATGAGACTTAATTGAATGGCGAGTAACACGAGAGTGATTTTTAGTAGATGGCACAAGGGACGCTAGCTCTTTAGAGCAGTGTCCATTATAGTATTTGTAGAAAAGAGAAAGAGAAGCAACATTACGACGATGTGACAAAGGTTGGAGATTAGCTGCAAGAGCAGGTCCAACTATGTTTACAATTCGTTTTTGCACCTTGTCTAAAAGAGAAAGAGCATCATTAGAAGATCCGCCCCAGATGTGGCAACAGTATTCCATACAGGGACGGATTTGAGATTTATAGAGATAGAGAATAGAATCTGGAGTAAGAAAGTGTTTAAAAGAAAGATCAGAAGTAAGAGTTAATCCTAGAAGATGAATGGTAGATGACTCATCTAGTACATTACCATTCATAAATATAGGAAGATCTAAATTATTACGATAACGATTGGCCGAATAAAATTGAGTTTTATCTGAATTAAAGTTCACCAGCCACTGTGAGCCCCATGCTGTAGCAGAAGTGAGATCCTTTCAAGCTCAGATACCCCCTCCAAGCAATCAGAGAGTGTAGGCTTCTTATCATGACAAGAGTAAATGGTAGTGTCGTCAGCGAATAATGCCACCTTAGATGTGAGAATATCTGGAAGATCGTTAATGTAAATTAAAAAGAGTATAGGGCCAAGGATTGAACCTTGAGGAACCCCTGAAGTTACAGGATGTGAAGAAGAGTGTTGTCCATCGAGGACAACTTTTATACTACGATTGGAAAGAAAGGACTCAATAATTTTAAAGACGTTACGAGCTACACCATAAGAAGAAAGCTTATGGAGAAGACCAGCATGCCAAACTTTATCAAAAGCTTTAGAAATGTCAAGTGCGATAGCCTTAACCTCTCCACCTCTATCTAATGCACGGTAAAACCTATCGGTTATTACTGTTAGCACATCAGCTGTAGAACGAGAAGACCGAAATCCATATTGATGATCAGAAAGTAAGTTATTTGATTCAAGATGAGAGATTAAGTGTTTGTTGATTAAAGATTCAAAAACCTTGCTTATGACAGGAAGAAGACTAATGGGACGGTAGTTAGATGAATCAGATCGCTCTCCGGAATTTTTGAAAATAGGGATAACAGATGCTGCTTTCCAGCATGATGGAAAACAAGACTCTGATAAGCACTTGTTAAATAGTTTAGAAAGTATGGATGAAAGCTCCGGAGAACACCTCTGCAAAACTACAACAGGAATGTGGTCAGGACCACAAGCTGTTGAAGAGTCTAAGCAGGAAACTACTTTAGATACAGAAGCTGAAGTGATGCGAATGTCAAGCAAGGGATCAACCTGTTTGACGGCTATGTCAGGTAAAACGCAACTAGTGGAATCAAGAGATGATATTGATGAAAAGTTCTTAGCAAACAATTCAGCTTTGTCTTTAGGTGAGGTGACAAAGTCTGAACCATACAAGAGAGAAGGAATAACAGATTTGCCCTTATTATTGATACTGTTAAAGATTCTCCAGAAGTCTCGAGAGCCTAATTTTTGTGATGAGATACGAGATTTAATGACCTGGGAATAGCGAGCTTTGGCGTCAGACAAAACCTTTTTACAATGGTTTCTGGCGATAGTGAACAGATGTCTGTTTTCTGGAGAATTGTTTTGTTGATAGATATGGAAGTAACGGTTTCGATTAGAAATTGCTGCAGCGCAATGTGAGGAAAACCAAGAAGAAGAGTGAGGCTTGACCTGGAATCGTCGAGAGGGATCAAAAGATTCCATGCCAGCCTGAATCCACGAAGTTATGTAAGAAGCACATTTGTCAACAGGAAGACGAAAGATTTCTACCCAAGGGCCATCACGAAGAAAAAAAAATTTGATCAGAAATAACATCAAGAATAGTGCAGTTTTGGGATGAAGGAGAGCAATATTGAACAAAGAGAAAGGCGATAGAGTGAAGTTGTGCTAAACGAAAGCACATAAATGAATAGTCTGTAGATTCAAACCTAGTTTCACGACAATTGGGTAAGTTCTTACGAATGTATATGCCAAGGCCAAGCATGTGATTATTGGAGTCTTTACGAAATAAAGGAAGATAACCATCAACACTAAGATCACAAGATGGGACAGCCGAACTCAAATTAGTCTCACAAAGAGCAAGTAGGTCTGGTGAACTTTGCAAGAGATAAGACTCAACAGAAGAAAAGTTACTTCGAAGACCACGAATATTAGTAAATGATAGGTAAAGAGAACTTGGTGATGACAATGGTTTTTTGTGTTTTTTAGTTTTAGGTACTTTAGTCATTTTAAATTTATAAAGAACTTGACTCAAGTATAGATAGTACTCAGTACACTATTTAACAACTAAGCAATAGCCTCATTACTATTAATAAACCCTAAGCCGTAACAAAGGGCTCCAAATGTGGCCTCTGCAATGCACACCAAGAGTACAAACAGGGACACCATCCATGCGCAACATGGCACTGTTAGTACTCTGATATTTTTCGGCTGTTGATGGAATCAGCCTCTCTGAGAGCTACCACAGAGTTCGGGAAACCTGACTACCAGCCGGCCTCAGAACCATAAAACTGAGTTTTAGAGCTGTACCCTCATTAGGAGATAAAAGAATGAGTTGCCCAGTCATAATTATAGAGACACAAGCAATACCCACGCATTGAGTCAAGAAGATCCAGCGTTCAACATCCTAAACTGGAAACAATGTATTAAAAATACATCTGCGCCAGCCTAATAGATGAGGCTGCTTTACTTCATTATCTGCTTTACTTCATTAAAGCAGATAATACTATTGTAAGTAAGAATTTAGAATTACCGTTTGGGGCTTTAGCTTCTATACCTAAATATAATAAACATATATCTACAGATTTGTCTTTCTTGCTAAAAGATAAATAAAAACACTTAGAAAAGATATAATAAAATTTCACTATTGGGAAACTTGTTTGTTGACAGTTCATCTAGATAAAAAAAAACTAATAACCGAACATTTGGATTTCTTTTCCCAATATATGTAACAAAGATATATATAAATGTTAAAAATATTGTTTAAATGAAAAAATATTATCCTTTAAAAATATGGAATCAGTATTCACAACTTACCAACTCACCTTTGCAGAAGAACTTAAAAATAAAAAACTTGAAAATTTCATATAATTCCTTAAATATATCTTGAATGAGATTTAGAATATTAATCATAAGATAAACATTGGTAAATATATAATTTTATATATTGGTATGTACATTATTTTATTTATTGTTAAAAACAATTACTTTACATGGTTATTATGTATAGTGGTATAGTTATAAGGTCAAATGTACCTGGTAGTACTGCACTTAACTTGTTTCTTAGCACAGCGGCGTTGTTTTACAATGTTTGTGTTTCAAAATTTTATTTTTAAGTTGAGAAAGGGATGCAACCACAATTAAAGTAGCATCCTTAATTGTAACAGCCTACCAAGCTTTGGGGAGATAAAAACATTTGATATATTTTTGCTTACCAATCTGTTGCCTTAGAGCTGAAATATATATATATATATAAAATTTTATATTTAATTTGTTATTTAAATAAAGTAAAAAGTGAAATCTGAGTACTAATATAACTTACTTGATACTTCATTGATATCTAAAAATAAAGACATGCTAATATAAAGATTTGAAAATGTTTGACCCTAGCAAAAAACAAAAAAAAATAAATAAAATAATTAGTTACCTGAAGAGACTAATGATGCCGATGCAACAGCTTAATAAAAAACATAATAAAAAAAGGCAATTTAATTCTAATTATAATGTTCCAAAAAACAATATTTAATACTTGTCTTTTTTTAAGTAACAAATCAAAATAAAATGTTTTTCAAGTAACAAATCGAAAAAAAAATGTATCAAGTTACCAGAAGTGGCGTATGAAGCAGTTAAAACAACGAAATGAAAAATATATAAATATTTAAAAATATATATATCTTATGAAATCCTGGAGATAATGTTCCAATAAAGAATGTTTATTGCTAGTTTTTCAAGAAAAAAATCGAAAGTATTGTTACTTAGGACGGTCAATGCTGCAGATGACACAACTAAATTAAATGTATAAATCAATAAAGATAATTTATTTAAGCATGATGGTAATAAACATTTTTTATTGTTAAAAATTAAATGTATAAATTAACCTGGGGAGGTTGATGCTACAGAAGAAATAACAAAATAAAAAAAAATTAAATAAAAAAAGCTATTTTACTAATGTTCAAATAAACAATAAATAGTAATTTTCAAATAAACAATAAATAATAAGTAATGTTCAAATAAACAATAAATATTCAAATAAATCTCTCTTCTTGTTTAATAAAATAAAAGACATCACCATTTGTAAAAGTTGCTGAAACAATACCTAAATGAAAAAAATCTATATTTGCCTAATATAAAACATATTCAATGATATAATGCTATTTCGATGGAAAAAGCTGAAATAAAAAAGAAGCTTACTGCTCCCAAATCTACAAAAATAACAAACTTACTGAGATCTATCTGTCTGTCTAAAAAATAAAAATTAAGCAATAAAATCAAATCAAAAATAATCTTTAATAAAAACGTATTTGTTGATTTAATAGCGAATTGTTAAACAATAAGTTAAAACAATAGCTATTAGAGAAAATGGTATTCCTACTTGAAACTAATCTGATAATTAAGTTAATAGATAATAAAACATACTTATTTCGCTCTCAGCTTGTCTGTCTAAAAAATTTTATTCTCATTAATCTTTCTCCAAACGAAAAATAAAATATAAATAATAAAATGAATCAAACTTACTAAATAGTTCTTCGATTGCTTCGAATGGTTCTGAAAAATAAAACAATAGTTGTTGTAAAAACAATCACTTTTATAAAAATATGTAAAAATATAATGTACTAAAAAAACTACTTTAACAGTAATTTTTTTATTTTTTAAAAACTTCGTATAAAAAAACAAATAAAAATAATCAAGATCAAACAAAACATTGATAAATAAATAAACAACATCAATTCTTCGCGAATAATAATAAAAATATATCAACTCTAATCGACAACTCAAATTTGCTTGCCGATCTTGCTCGAAAGACCGCGTGTTATGTTATTATAAAAACATATTTTTTATATTAATTTTTGTTATATTTATTTATTTATTTTATATTATATTTCATTTTTAACTTCTTCTATTTACAAAAACCAAATAATATAACCAAATTTAGACCTTGCCGTAACCCTAAACCTGACCTTGATGCCTGGCCAAACCAAACCCTAAGTCGATGTAGCAGCACAGCCTTGCGAGGCTATTTGTCAGTCGATGTATGTACTTTTTGTTCTCTATAAAAGTGTCTTACGGGTACATTTTTTTCAGTTTCAAATTCAGCCATATTATAATATATATATATATATATATATATATATATATATATATATATATATATATATATATATATATATATATATATATATATATATATATATATATATATATATATATATATATATATATATATATATATATATATATATATATATATATATATATATATATATATATATATATATATATATATATATATGTATATATATATATGTATATATATATATATATATAT